AGTAATTTGATAAAATAGTTTATATTTATAGATGGTTTGGTTCTAGAATTAATTACTACTTCCAATTGTTAATGAAGGGCTCATAGCCTATATAGGGAGTGTCCAACTACAATATATAAAACAAAAAATAAATTGACCTAACATGCTGTTCGAAAGAATACAACAGAGTAGGTAAGAATTTACAAGCAAGACAGAATACATTAACATGAAATACAATCAAAACACAAAAAAAAAAATATTTTAGTCCTTGTAAAAATATTAAATTTTTACTACTCAACTACCTATGTCACTGATTTCTTACACATAGAAAATTTACTTAGTTACTAAAGCACACATTACAGTACAACAAAAGACCCATTTACAATATTCACAAACACGTCAAATGTATACCATATCACAATATTGGTAAAACCCTTAGTTGAAAAGATGTAAATGACATAGGCTACCACAATATACCCAAAATATAGAGAAAATCGAAAATATTTCCGACCCCAAAACCAAACGAAAACCTTTGTTTGCCAAAGTTTTAAGGAGCAAAAAGCCCTTTGCCAACATTTTCAAAATTAGTCAGACATTTAATATTAAATACAAAATAATCACCTAAGACAAAATCCAATCTAAATTATCAATTCGAGTTTAGAAACCAACTAACTATTAATGGTGCACCAACTCTTCTGGGTAACAGACGAAACAATTTCTTCGAAGAATGAAGGGAATATTTCTAGACGTATCCCGTATTTTTGAGAGTTTGGCAGCGAAAAATTCATAAACCTAAGGCAATAATCCTAAATATTTTCATTAACCCTTTTATAACAGATATTTCATAGTAATAATAAGTAATCATAGATCCGAATCAAATACTATTTTTTCACAGCCGACCTTCCCACTAGACTGTGGTCTGCCGGTAAGAATAAATTCCAGGTCTTTTTTAAATTTAGCCCATGAACTGCGTTTTCAGTGCAAAGGCTTGGGCGAATACGAAAACTGAGAGGAGAAGTTAATGTCACCGATTTGATTATAAAGCAGTACATGACTACTTTAGGAACTTACGCAAACGTTTCGGTATTACACCGATTTTTTCTTTTTGTGAGATTTTTTTTTATTTTACATAGTAGTTTTATATTCTCTGTAAAGGTAAAAGGCCCTTTGTAAACCAATTTGGAAGCAGTAATTAATTCTATAGCCATTTACTCCATAAATATAAAATTTTTGTTACGAAATAATGATAGTACGAGTAAGCCTGTTTTCCGCAGGTAAGAATAAATTTCAGGATTTTAAAATAAAATTGTCCGTAATCTATCTTTTTGTGCAAAATTTGGGCGAATATACAACCAATGGGGAGGCGTAATTCATATAAACAAATTAGACTATTTTTTAAACAATGAGTATCTAGTGTAGGAACGTGGACGAAGATTAGTATTAGTTTTTTTAGAATGAATTTTTGATTTTTACATAGTAGTTTGATATTCTCTGTGAAGGTAAAAGGCGCTTTATAAACAATTTCAAACAGTTGTTAATTCTGGAGCCATTTAGTCTATAATTATTAAGTATTTTTAAATCACTAGTTTTAGTAACACTGTGGTCCGCCAGTAAGAATAAATGCTACGTTTTTTTAACGTAAAGCACTGTAGTTTTGGTGCAAAATGCTGTGCGAATTTTTAAAAACAATTAATTGTTATAATGATGTTAAAACGAAGGAATCAATTTATACTTTCTCGTTAGATCTTTCTCAAATTTTTGCTGTATTTTTTTTTTTTTCGTGGCTACCTTGCTTCAGTCTCAAGCTAGCTGATCCTCATTTTTTTCAGAAAATGGTTGGCATTATCAATTTAAAATTAAGATAATTAATTAGTATTAAATGATCACATGTATTTTGTTCTCGTCCACCATGGGTGGCTAGAGGTCTGTCCAACGGATAATCCGGTGACCAACAAAAAGGGGTGGCTCGCCTTGCCTGCTCTCTCTTGAACGGGCAGCCTATCGGGATGCTATCGTATTTGTTGAAATCGGGAACGCAGTAGTAAATCGCTAACCCGCATAGTCAGTAGCGGTTCGTACTTACGTTACGCAACCCCGAGATAATTGAATATGATCTCATAATATCTTAAGATTGTACATTTTCCTTTTAATGACACAGTATTCAAGACATATCAGCAACATCGATGTATATGAAATCATTTTGAAACCAAAGAGCGTCCAACTGCCACTCTCCGGTGCCTTTCCGGGTATTGCATTGTGCTCTTGGCCGTGTTGCCGCGTTTACTACATTTGCTTTTTGACCCTTCGATATAACATGACAAACATAGGCAGTTTTGGTTGAGCAACCAGGCGGGTGGCGCTGCGCGGTCTCCGGGGAATCCCAATATTGTCTTCGTCCGACTCGCTGCAATGTAATTTTATGAATTTTGCTTGTTATTTAAAGTACACAAGTTCAATCAATTATTGACTTGAATTATTGAATTGCATTTAATGCATTATTTATTATGTTTAGATAATTTGTTTTCATTCGATATTATATTTATTGATTTAAAATGTACTCTTAATAATTTGTTTGTGTAAAGTTGGCCATTTTGGAAGGAAGTCCCTTTCTCGGTAGATACTATTTCCGCTTGGAGTAGCCTGCATGGAGAGAGCACAGGTAGGAATACGAGCGTTTGGAGGATCTTTATTACAAAATATACTAGGGTAGAGAAATATTGAAATAAAATAATTTTATTTGTAAAACATATCATGCAATTTGCGTGAGAAAATTTACCCCACCGTGCTTTCGACTGATCCACGATTCAACTGTAGTAATCAGTTGGTATGACTACCTGTCTTGGAGGAAATGACCCATCGCTGCTGCCATTATGCTAGTTCCAAGCATTGCATCCCGTCTTTTTTGAAATAACGCCTATGCCGACCACGGACCAATATCTCTACTGGCATCATCCCGGTTATGACACAAACTGCTTCATTTGAGTCGGTGCGGAACGCATCAGCAACCCTGAACGCAGATAGCTAGTATATTGACGCCATTCCTCTTGCGTAGATATTCCGTGTCTATAGAGGTGGTCCAAACCATAGATCCCTCCAATCCAAAGATCAGAACCGATGTAACGACCGAAGTAAGTACCTTCTCTTTCCATGACTATACTCACCAGCATTAACCTAGTCAACGCAGCATTCACCACTGTTGCTGCTTTCTTGCTGCCGTAGAGGTCTATAAAGGTAGCGATGAATTTTTGAGATGACTGACTTTGAAAGTGATAGATTTGAGACCGACTTTGCGAGTCATGAATCTTTCTGTTAGTTTCAAGCCTCACTATTCTGCGCTCGGCAATCTGCAATCCTGCGGAAGCCGACAAGCAATGGCAATCGCTTTATTGCAATGGCAATGCCGGCGGCAAAGCCTATGAGCTTGGTCCCTAAGTGCGAGAATAAGAACCTTGTCATACACGATATTCCACAGCAGACCCAGCAGTTTTCCGTTAAGCGTCTCGCCGTTGAGCGGTTCGCATCACTGCTCTTAAATTAAGGCTGATATGTCAGAATTAAGTTTTTATTTCACATGTATTTTTACATAATATTAAATTTATTTTATTTATATAAACATAATGTAATAATTGCTTTTTGTTTTAGTTCATACAAATGGACATAAGATTGATATGGAGAGCATCATATTTCACAATTTGGTATCTTTAATGACCACTTTACAGCAAACTTCGTTTTCAACTTAAATAATTAAAATATTTATTCACTAATGTAACATTTCATGTCACTGAATGTTGGCTGCCCCAAACACAAGGTTTATCTGCAACCTTATTAATTCAACCTTGTACATATGTATCTGAGAAGGTTAAGACTAATGTATAACTATATAGTATCTGTTATGGGTATTCATAAAATTATACATCCAATAAACACATTAAAAGTTTAAAGAGATTCTACAGTTTTCTCCCCCGTACTTCACATACTTTTTTACTTTTTTTTTACTAAATAAGTAAATGAAATCAGTCAAAATTTTCGAGTCTACCCTTCAACAGGGTCTTCTTCAGGAACATTTGTTGTAATAAATAAATGAATCAAATTGATAATTGTGAAAATACCAAACACTATATACAATACATAAGTTCACAGCACCATAAAATTAATAATTTTGATTTCTTCAGAGCTTTCGTTAGAACTCCTAGAAATTATTTTCAAAAGAATAGAGAAAATTATCAATGGATGATAATTTCTTGATGGAGAAAAAAATGGTGGGACTTTTATTTTTAGACCTCAAAAGAGCTAAACAACAGATAACAAATCACTAATTATAAAATTAAACAATCATTGATTTAGAGGAACTGATGAAAGTGATTTAAATAAATTTGGAAAATAGAAAAGTTAAATTTAATGATACTCAAATTTGCTTGACCCACTTACCCGTGTTCCAGAGGGATCGGTTTTAGGACCAATTTTATTTACTTTATAAATGATATAGAAAAGGATACATTTAAAAATCAATCAAACTCGCTTTGAAAATCCATTTATTTGTAAATAATACTGTACTTTTTGTTCAAGGTCAGAATGTTGAAAACCCCAAAGAAAAATTACAATGTTCAAACAAAGAAGCATTGAATTAGTATAGTAATAAATTGTCGAAATCCAAGATGACCTAAAGTTGACTATTTCTTCTTCTACCATGACAGTAATAATGCAAAATGTACGGGTCATCAGGGACAGACGGGCACAGACTCCAGTAATTTCTTCTGCCAATGTGTGTGCTTCTGAGGAAGACTCTGCCCATATCCTTCTGAACGCCTGTTCTCCCCCTCAGCCACTTCTGAGCTCATAAGCCTGCTTGCTAGACTTTCTTTCTGAATGACATAAAAAGTTACCCAACTAGTTTCCAGCCATATTGATTAGTTTTTTTCTGTGTTCCTACCTTAGTTTTAGAAGTACTTTACTTACAAGATTATACATAAAAATTAAATTAATTCAGCTTCTGAAAAACAAAGTGAAAACAAGTTTTGGCAGAAAAAGTGAGGAAGTGGGGTAGTACAAACATTGTCTAAATAGAGAAGTGTCACTGACAGGCCTGTGTCAATATATCCGATTAGAGAAAAGTAAAAGACATGCTTTAGTCGGAGCATATTTTTCCTTAGTTTTTTTTTAGCATATTTTATGTAATTTCTTTGACTACAGTAGTAAATATAAATATGTGCCATATTCGTGACATGGCAAAGCATAAATCAATATTCATGTGAATCTTCTTGAACATCTCAAGTACTTGGGTTGGGTCTTTTGAACGAAAGCAAAAACATCAAACAAATCTCTTACATGAACATCTTTATTAAATATATGTTATATGTTAAAAAACATGTGTCTTTAGCACAAATGCATTACATTTTGAACTCTTTATTAAACGTATCCAAATAAATGCAAAAAAGTCTGGAACTCAGGAATTTATCCTGAATGTTTCATAAAATGCAACACTTTCTGAACAATAATACTCAAATAACTGATCGAAAGATAATTTCCTGCATCAATGCAAATGAATTTGATCAGTTTCATATTATCACAGGAAGTAAAAAGGCAACTGTAATACTGGTTTGCGCTATTCAAAGACTCGCGCAGTAAAAAAAACCCTCTTGTTTATGCAAGAGGTGGAAATTCATCAATCAGTCTGGTGTATTTGCGACATATAGGGCAAGTACTATTAGTATGCAGCCATTGGCGAATACACTGGAAAAAGAAGACAATTATAAACAAAATATGATTTACAAAAAGTTGCATCAACAGTTGCAAGCTTACATCAACTGAAAGTTTGCCTTATCTTTCAATCATTTCTTACTTCAGTGTGAAATGTGTGTTTGCACTGCAAACTGGTTTTACTGTTGGCCTCTATATTTATATGGCAAATAATACATTCATTTTCAACATCATCATTTTGCCAACTGACATCATTTTCCTTCACTTCTCCCCATGCAGCACAACCAAATTTATCCATTCCCATATTACCTGGAAAAAAATTCATCTTCTTGAAATTCAAATTCATAAATACATTTAACTTAAGACTAACTGCTGCTTTTTTTCTTTGTAAATACATTATTTCCCTTTGAAAATTATTATCAACATACGAGGCTGTCTAAAATTAAGCCCAATATTTTAATTGCTTCTTAATGTATAACAATTTTCAATACAGCAATAAGTCTGCACAACGTGTATAAGTGATTATTTCGAAGACTTAGGCTCAAAATTGTTTTCAAAGATTTTTTTCACTTTAGTTACATACCTATCTTTTTGCTGGATCTATCTTCCAAAACTTTCTCAACTCTGCGAATAATAGTAGAAACAGACAAACCTGTAAGCTTGTTTGCATTTTTTTCTCGAACAATAAAAAGACTTTCACTTAGTTCAACTCTGTAATCAGACACAAACATTTTGAAAGCAAATTAATATTAGAATTAAGAGACAATCTTAAAAAGTGTAATTAAACTAAAAAGCATATACTTGACCTATATTTACAATATGATCTTCAAATTGAAAAGGAAATGAATTTTAGAAATTTGAACTCGCTTGCACAGTTTTGAAACAATTTTTTAACTATTATAACATCATATTATACAAAAATATTTTGAAATGTTAATACTGTTAATTACTGGTCACCTTAAGGATTGATTATAGCACATGCAAAGTGTAATGTACAACAATACAATTTTAGGCCATTTAACATTATAATAAGAGTCGTCTCTAAAAAATAACATTTTTAACTTTTAAACTTCTCTTACACAGTCAACTCTGGATACAGTGAACGTGATTCACTGGCCCTTATCTCCATATACTGAAGATAAACTCTAGACGATTCTGTTATAGTGAATTCTCCACATCTGCTGTAGTGAACAATGGGAAGACAACTTCCAGAAAAAATACTTGATCCCAAGCTCGCGAATTCAAATAGCACTAAGAGGTTGCAGGCAGATTGTCTCATGAGTTATTTTTATAACATTTATGGCAAATCAAAGAGACTGAGTAAACAATCCACAGAGGAAATTGTTTCAGCTCATCAATGGCAATTCTGCTAAGTGAGAAAACCTAATTCATACAGTTTGTAAGATTAAAACAACTGAAATTCCATCTGACTAGAACATCATTAATAGAGTGAAAGCATCTTCTGGAACAGAAGAAAACGACAAATGTGATATAATTGAAGAAAATATTCCCACAGTGCAAAAGTCTTTCAAGGAAATCAAGACTCTCAAATATTTTGTGTGTGAACTCTGTATAATCAAGTGTTGAGAAAGCATGGACTCTGAGAAAGGTTACAGGAAAATATTAATAAAAAACTAAATACAGTACTGAAATTAATGTACCGAATTTCAAAACTTAACTTTTTGAGAACTTTACTGAATTTTTGTAATAACAAAATAAAAGTAGGAAGAACTATTTTATTTTTGCATTACTCAATACATTGTTTCCAAGAACTTTAGTTCTCAAAGGTTCACAACAACTGTTACTGTGTACCTCTGGGGGTATAATATTTAAAAAATATTACAAACAAGCATTTTTACATCCCACTCCATTTTATATTTTATATTGCATGCATTTAATTTAATGTATTTGTGTGAAATACTTTAAATGATTTCTTATAACATTTCTGGAAATCTCAAAAGTTTTCAAGGGTTAAAGAGTTCAAAATTGTACATTTTCAAATGCTCCAACATTTCCTTTAAAAATAAACACACAAAATTTTCTCCAGAAAATGTCCATGTAAATTCTCATATAAAGATAATTCTTGTTTTTCTATAATATTCTCTGCGTTTCTTCAATTAAACTAGTAGGTGACCAAATAATTTTATCAATACCAGGGGGTCTTTCTTACCACTGATGGATTTGGGAGGATTGGTGAGACTGTGGTGTGTGCGTGTGCGCGTGTGAGTGTGAATGTAATTTTTTCACTTTTCTCTCATAGTGTTAATATTTATATTAGTGGCAACTTGTTTACATTATTGTATTTATGAGTACATGTAGTTTAAATAATGTCATATACAGCTTCTCGAAATTAAACCGTTTTCTGAGAAAACTAGCTTGAAATTATGCATTTTCCGAAACACCCAAATGCCAATTTCTTATAAATGGCTCAAAATTTTGTCTTCAAACTTATTAAAGGGATAAACATAATTGCACTCTTTCATATGCGGTTGAGGTTAACTTCTTTCTTTCTTTTTTTTTTTCTCTTAAAAAATCACACAAATGTAATTTTTTGAAAATTCTCGAATGGCGGTACATTTCCAACAATTTGTAAACATTATTATTTGTGAGTTAATTTGCTTCAAATGAAGTTTTTCGAAAACTCAAAAATTTTTTATGAAAAAGTGCTTCAAATTTCGAATTTTCTAAGCGTTTGAAGCATTGTTTTCCAAAACGGTTGCAGATGCTTCAAAGATTATTGCCATTTAGGACGAACTTTTGTAATATTCTTAAAATAATATTTCCTTTCTACTGTCAGAAAACAGTGGAATTAAGACTATTTCAAACAAATGTACTGTGGGTGCTGATAAAAGGCAGCAGGCAAGGTATGTGGCAAATTCGAATAGTGAGCCGAGACCAAAGGAAATATAAAACTAATACAGAAAAGTCTGTGCCATTCTGAAGAATCACTAGTTTTATTCTACAATTTTGTAAAACCAATAATAATGATAAAAAATAATAAAGAAATTAATAAAATAAAAGGTAGGTAACCAAGATCCCATAGAGAATTTATAAATTTGATTATGAAGGAAGATGCTGTTGTCACTTTTGACATTAGAACAGAGAAGAAGTGATATTATAAAACTTTTTAAAATTCTGAAAGGATATTAAAATATTTTGAATTTAACATTTCTTATTAAGAGACATGGAACCTAGGCTTTTAGGACATACAATGCAGTTGATGAAAGAAAAACAAGGATAGGATAACCTTTTCACTTTTTTTGTCAACTGCAGTGTTGTGAATGCATGGAATGAACTTCGAACTAGCTACATTCAAAAGGAAACTCTGAATGCCTTCAAGAATAGCATGGAGTCATAATTTTGTGTTTAACTACATTATATTAAATATGCATATAACATATGAATGTGTGAGTATGGGCATGTATACATACATATGTATGTATGTGAATGTGTACTTGTACAATTTGTGATCTATAATTGTGATTCAAATTATAAAACTGTTACTCTACAAAACTGAATTATTGTGTAACCTGTTACACCCATTGTAAGATGTGTGTGCTGCTACCATTAATAAATAAATAAAAATTGTTCATTGTGGAAAGCAAGCTTAATAATTCTCGAAACTTAAGTACCTTAGTTCACATTACTGCTTAGAAAACAAATAATGTCAAATTTGAGGTACCTACTTTCAATGTTGCAAACGTTATTTTGAGCCATTATCATAAAAAAGTAAAGTTTAAGTTTTTTAATTACCACCACCACCACCACCACCATTACCACCACCATTACCACCACCACCACCACCACCACCACCACCTATATGTGTGTTTGGCGAGAAATAACAACTGCAAATATACAGCCCTTCCACGTTGACCCAAACAAAACCCTCGCCATTTCCATACTCCGTGACTCTAATCGAGGGGTTTGTTACAATGATTCCCGAGTCTGAGTTCCGATCAAGGTACCACCCTTTATTTGTTGCCATATTTTTGTTGGGCTCGCTTATGAATATTAGGTCGAACTTTAATCTACTTATCGCTTCCATTAATAGGTCGTGCGCCAGTCTACATCTATTGACGTTTATTTGTAGAACGTTAATCATGGTTGAGCCTTTCTTGCCTGCCTGAGAGCTTTCCCGAATGGCCGGCATGCTCCAGTGCCCGCCCTGTGGTCTTCCTTGCAAAGAGGACAATAGGCTGGGTTCTTGCGCGCATTAGCTATATGTCCCTCGTGTCCGCAGTTGTAGCATTTGTTTCTTCTGTCTTCGCCGCGGCAGT